TCTCTTTCACATCACTACCAGAGAGACGTTAATTTATCTAGTGAAATAGCGCTGCATTACGAGTATACTGAACAAGTCTTGCATAATAATTTTCTTCTACTATTTAGTGTCGTGGTAACTCGCGATCTAAGCGCTTGTCGTAAGTTTCACCGTACGCGAGAATTCCGGCTTCGATCCCTGTCGGTACCAGTGAAATAATTTTTATAGAATAAGGGTGACAAACAAGCACACAGTTGATAGTCCATAGTCCATAGAAACCTACATTTATCCTCGATTATGAATTAAAATGCAGTTACGTTAACATCCCTGAGGACTAAGATCGAATAAGGCATTCATCTTTTTTTTTATAGGATAGGGTGACAAACGAGCACACAGTCCACCTGTTGGTAAGTGGTTGCTGTGGCAAGGGAATCAAAACCTACAGCGTACTTCCCGTGAACTCAGAATCTTAAAATTTGGTACGAAGCAACGTATTATAGCACAGATAAAGGAAAAATTGCGAAAAGCATAAATTTTTAGTTACATCATATAATAAAAATATTTTTAATAATTTTAAACTTATATACCTACGGATTTGTTCGGAACCCTCGGTGCGCGAGTCCGACTCGCACTAAGCCGGTTTTTATTTTGTTGTCCGGCCCATTGCATTCAGCTTAGTAACCCATTTCATATTTATTTTTGTATTATATGAAATTCGCAAACGCGTATTAGGACATCCTTTCCCAAAAATATATATTATTATATATTATTTATTATTATATTGCAATTTATATATTATAATTATATAATTATATTATTATATAATTACTTATATATATATATATATATATATATATATATATATATATATATATATATATTTCATTCATTCATTCATTACAGCCCTTCACAAGTCCACTGCTGAACATAGGCCTCCTCCAAAGAATGTCACAAAGCACGGTCCTGAGCCACCTGCATCCATCGACTTCCTGCATATCTTACCAGGTCGTCACTCCATCTCGTGGGGGGACGCCCTACACTTCGCCTACCGGTACGAGGCTGCCACTCGAGAACCTTTCTTCCCCATCGGTTGTCGGTTCTTCGAGCTATATGACCGGCCCACTGCCACTTCAGCTTACTAATCCGTTGGGCTATGTCGGTTACTCTGGTTCTACTGCGGATATCCTCATTCCTAAGTTTATCACGCAGAGAAACTCCGAGCATAGCCCTCTCCATAGCTCGTTGAGCGACCTTGAGCTTCCTCATACGGCCAGCAGGGAAGGACCACGTCTCAGTTCCGTAAGTCATCACTGGCAACACGCACTGGTTGTACAGTTTCGTTTTCAGGTTTTGAGGTATGTCTGACGAGAAGATGTGTCGTAGCTTCCCGAACGCTGCCCAGCCGAGTTGAATCCGTCGATTGACCTCTCGGTCGAAGTTGGACTTACCTAGTCGGACTATTTGTCCCAGGTAAACATACTCGTCAACAACTTCGAGCTTAGTGCTCCCAACAACTACCGGCATAGGTGTGACATGGACATTAAACATGATCTTTGTTTTGTCCATGTTCATCTTAAGACCTATTCGTTGGGAAACACTATTGAGGTCATTGAGCATAGTGCTTAGGTCCTCCAGCGATTCTGCCATAAGGACTATATCGTCGGCAAATCGAAGGTGAGTGATGTACTCGCCATTGATGTTGATACCGTATCCTTTCCAGTATAATATATATATATATATATATATATATTACCGCAAAGCTTCCGGATAAAACTTCTTATAGATAAAATTGCTATGCGGATGACAGCACTGGTGATGCTCTATACACCGGCCGTGCCAATATTTCTCGGGAAAACGTCGCTGAGTACCGGAACAAACTTGTGTCTGAAGTCGAGTCTTTGCTGAGCAAAGTCTCGGATTGGGGGCGACTAAATCTAGTCCAGTTTAATCCTCAGAAGACACAAGTTTGCGCGTTTATCGCTAAAAAGAACCCCTTTGTCGTATCTCCTCAGTTTCAAGGCACTCCCCTTCTTGCCTCAGCCAGTATCGGTATCCTCGGAGTCGACATATCGAGTGACGTGCAGTTTCGTGGTCACTTGGAAGGGAAGGTCAAATTGGCCTCTAAAAAGCTTGGCGTGCTCAACAGAGCGGGACAGTATTTCATGCCGGCACACCGCCTGCAACTTTACAAGGCGCAAGTTCGGCCTCACATGTAATACTGTTCCCATCTCTGGGCAGGGGCTCCCCAGTGCCAGCTCCTTCCACTTGACCGCATCCAACGCAGAGCTGCGCGAATCGTCGACGACCGAGCCCTTTCCGATCGGCTCGATTCATTGGCACTGCGAAGAGATGTTGCATCCCTTTGCATTTTCTTTCGGATCTACCATGGGGAGTGCTCTGAGGAATTGTTCGGATTAATCCCAGCCGCCAAATTTCACGAACGCTCATCGCGGCAGAACTCCCGATACCATCAACACCATCTGGATGGTTGGCGGTCCACAACTGTGCGATTTAGAAGATGTTTTGTTCCTCGCACGACCTCCTTGTGGAATCGACTACCATCAGCGATTTTTCCGGACCGATACGACTTAGGGACCTTCAAGAAAAGAGCGTACTCCTTTTTAAAAGGCCGGCAACGCATCTGCGATTCTCCTGGTGTTGCAGTTGTTCATGGGCGGCGGTAGTCACTTACCATCAGGTGAGCCGCATGCTCGTTTGCCCCCTCTCCTATAAAAAAAAAAGCTTCCAACAAGTAAAAAGTTAACACCGTGTACAATTAATTGACTTTGGCATTGCAAGATTTTTTAATCAGTTAAGTCTTGTTAACAATTAACTGTAAATGTTCCTACATCAAATTATTTAAATAATATAGGTACCATTCCATGGTTTCGTAGTTTTTTTTTTTAATAGAATAGAATAATTTTTAATTATTATGAATTTCTAGTATTACCTTTTAAAAACATTAATTGTTTTTACCATTGGCTTGAAATCTATACTATGTATAATGAAACTCTAACACGACGTCTGTCTGTACGCGCATAAACCTGAGATCCGATTTGGATTTACCTATATAACCGACTTTTTCTTTCTTTGGCAGATAGTTGATGTTATAAGAAGTAACTTAGGCTACTTTTATTGTAGGAAAACAATTAGGGTTCAATGCAAAAAAATTTAAACCCATGAAATCAATCTTTCACGCGCGGGAAGTCACGGGGATGTATGTAATTTATGCGCTGCTGGTACCAACCACTCACGTTTGAACGACAAACAAAACAAAGATAAATGTAGAAGTTAATGGGCCACAGCAACCACTTACCATAAGGTGGACTGTGTGCTCGTTTTTCACCCTATCATATTAAAAAAAAACATTACCAAATATTATTTACTACCTTAAACTATTGAAAGGGACATTTTGGTTGTGATTAAACTATTATAAGCAACCATGTAGTATATATTATAAACTAATTAAAGACTTTTAATGTATTATTATTCCGTTCCTTTTCCGTTCTTCATTATTTTTTTATTTTTTTTATAGGATAAGGGTGACAAACAAGCACAGAGTCCACCTGATGGTAAGTGGTTGCTGCGGCCCATAGACATCTACATCTATCCTCTGTTACAAATTAAAATGTAGATGCGTTGTCACCCGTGAGGACTAAGATGGAATGCCTCATTTCCAGTAAAAAGGGCCTCCGGCCACTTGCACTCACCAAGCGAAACGCAGAGGTAAACCTCTACTTCACGCTGGTTTTCTGTGAGGTCGTGATATTACCCCGGTTCGAGCCGGCCCATTCGTGCGACAGCAAAAGCTGCCTCGTGGCTCTACCACTGTTATTATTACAGCCATTCCTAAAAATCCACTGATGAACATAGGCCTCCACCATAAATTGCTTGGTAATCGTTACTGTTACAGTAACAGCTTATTAGAGTCCATTGCTGAACACATTAGCCATAGTTGCCATGCTTGGCAAGCGGGATGGCAATAACAGTTTTTTAGTCGTTATTAGGAAGACGATGCTGACCATCTCCTGATTTGTTTCCCTCTGTCGCCTCTTACGACAACCACGGGATAATATGGGGTAGTGGATATTCTTACATCGCCATTACACGGCTTATTTACACGCATACCTACTTTATTTTTAAGCACTTTAATATATGATGTTAATTCGTTTTATTTTTATCGTTTTCATTCACATTAAAAGCCATCACACATGTACATATGAATGTGTTCCTGCCAATACACAGCTAAAATGTTTTATTTCCTGAAGCTACGTGAAAGGGGCAATGTTGATACATCCCGGACAGTGCAAACATTGGTTCTGCTGTGCTATAGAGCCGCTCGTTGAATCACACACGTAGTTCATTCTCTTTGTATACGACTATGAAGCAGTTAGTTAAATAATATATATATATATACAGGGTATTTTTGGAACGCTCCCGAAAACTAAGACAGGCGACAGCACCAAGTATACCTTTGATCATGGGTAACACATAAATTCGATCCTGATGAAAAAAAAATCATCTTTTTATAACGTTTTATTAGCTTTATTCACGCGCTATCATGTTAGTACAGCTAAATGGAACGATAATTTCATAAAAAAAATCATGAAAATACTGAAACATAAAACCAGCAGTGGAATTACTGAATTGATATCAGCTGATTTGAGGTCAATGTACGCGCGAACGCAAATTCGCGCGGCCCGAAACTAGCACATTACCTAATAATTTACAACACTTGTCTAAATACCTAACTTATCTACTCAACCTACTATTTTGCCACTGTACTTGTCTCCACGTAGCCACTAATACGAATTTACAGGTTAAATAACCCAAATAACTGGTTCGATTCCCCGCTAATGAAAAAATACTTAAATTAATGCAATGTTACCAAGATTGGAGTCATGCGTTTTTATTCATCGTGTAGGTATGTTTATTATTCTCATGTATTCAGTTATGTACCTATTCAGATTAGTCCAGTACTAAGTTATTTAAAAAAAATACTTATGAAACAGCTTACCGCTCTAAATCCTCCGTGGTCTTATGAGATGCGGCTCAAATTGTGCTCCATTCATTTCAAGGCAGATTTGGGCTCGGTTTTGCATCTCCTCATGCAGGCGGGGCATCATCGTGTGGTCTTCGACACAGTCCGTACGTAGTTTGTCGAAAACATCCACGATCCTTTGGCGCATTTCATCAGCACTATCACACTCGCGATTAAAAACCCTTTCTTTCACATACCCCCACAGAAAGAAGTCCAACGGGGTCAGATCTGGTGAGCGAGGTGGCCAAGCGTGTGGTCCTAGTCTGCCGATCCAGCGATCATCAAATAGCTCATTGAGGCGCTCACGGACTAACCTCACGACATGTGGAGGGGCACCATCATGCTGGAGCCATGTGTGGCGATATTCAGCCAACGATAGGTCGTCTAAAATGTCCACCAACTGTTCATTTATGAATTTCAGGTATCGCTGTCCGTTAAGTCGCTGTGGCAGAAACACTGGTCCTAGTATGCGATTCTTAAATAAACCTGCCCATACGTTAACCGACCATCGGGTTTGGTGCCCGGTTTGTCGAACAGCGTGCGGGTTAACCTCTGAATACACGTGTGTATTTCTTCGGTTCCACAGGCCGTTTCTGGTAAATGTTGACTCGTCCATCCAGATGACGTGCTCAATGAAACCAGGCACACGTTGTTGTTGGTCTAATAACCAACGGCAGAAGATTCGCCGGCGGTCGTGATCGCCGGTAACTAACGCTTGCACTTTGTACACTTTATATGGGCGCAGTCGGTTACGCTTTAACACTTTGTGAACTATAAAAGCTTTTACAAAAATTTTTACTTCGCAAATATCCGCGTTATAAAATAAAATGATGTGTCTTACCTAGTATGAAGAAGCACCTCCCGCCCTCCCTCAATTGCGTGCACTAACCCCGTCACCACTAATCCCAGCACCGCTACTCCCAACACCACTACACTAGGCAAGACACACCACTGACGATAATACGACACGTGTTTCGCCTCTACACGAGGCATCCTCAGGTGATATAGACTCTACGGTGGCTAACCACTAAGTGAGCGGCGAGCCAAAACAACTGCCTTTTATACAAACGGATGACGCAACCGCTCTCTACCTAAGAAGCGAGCGACTGCGTCATGCGATAAAACATGCGACCAATCACCGCTGGACTTACGCAGCCGTTTGTAAAATTAAAAACAAACCGCCGCGCAACGCCCACATTATTAGAGAGCAGGCTTGAAGATATTTAAGAGAGGTGAGTTAGTAACATTTGTTTGTTCATTCAGCAATGCAACGGTATTATTATTACTTTTTAATATTTCTAAATGTTCCAGCACACACAGCCGCAGCCCTTTATTACACGTATGTAAGACTTTAAAGGAGTGGTCGTTGGCTAGGTTGTGTCCAGTGTCCAAAAGATGTTTGGCAAAATGGGATTTATCGGGATTGCAATTCCTGTACGCGGCTAAATGCTCTTTATAACGTGTCTCGAAATTGCGACCAGTCTGACCCACGTAAACGGCGTGGCATTCGTCACAAACAAGTTTGTAAACACCTGACTTTTGACGAATATCCAACTTATCTTTACTATTACAGATATTTCTAAGAGAATTGTTTGTTTTAAACGCCACATAAACGCCGTTTTGTCGAAGAGTATTAGCTACTTTTTCAGATATGGGGCCTAAGTAGGTCAAACTGCTCACATATCGATGAACACTTTGAGGTTGAACCGCGTACAGAGAGTTGCGAATAACATGCTTTTGTTTCTTTTTAATTAAATTGTTAATGAGATTTTTTGAAAAACCGTTAGAGACCGCTATTTGATAAATTATATTAAGTTCTTTTAAATAATTTTCTTTACTTAATGGGACAGTGAACAACCGGTTAATGTAACAATAAAAAGCGGCTACTTTATGTTGCCATGGATGACATGATGACGCGGGGATGACCGTGTCGGTGTGAGTTGGCTTTCGATAAATTTGGAAAACATGTGACGATTCTTTTCTTGTTATTGTTAAGTCAAGAAAATTAAGGGAACAATCTTGTTCCAATTCAAGTTTAAATTTAATTTTGTCATGGACTCTATTTATTTTATTGAGGAAAACATCCAGTTGTCTCCTTGTGCCAGTCCAGCAAATAATTATGTCGTCTACATATCGATAGTAATATAAGATATTTTGATTGACAACTATATGTTGTTTTTCGAAATTATCCATGAAAATGTCCGCCATAAGGGGACTTAGAGGGGACCCCATAGCTAACCCTTCTTTTTGTAGATAGAAACGGTTATTAAACCGGAAATAGTTTTGTTTCATACAGAGAGAGGTTAAGTTAAGAAGATCATTTGTTTCCCCGGGATGTAGACGACGTTTTTCAAAGAGATCTGCGAGTATACGCAAACAATCAGGGGATGGGACATTTGTGAAAAGACTATCAACGTCTAAAGATAACAATATGGATTTAGGAGGAATATGAATATCTTTAATTTTGGAAATGAGATCTAAGCCATTTTTTAGGCTGTAAGTGGGGTTGAATCCAGATTTCTCTCGAAGGAGGAAGTTTAATTTTTTAGCAAGGAAATAAGCTGGTGCACCAATATATGAGACAACTGGACGAATAGGAACATGTTCTTTATGTATTTTTGGTAACCCATATAAAATGGGTGCTTGAGGATTCATTGGAACAAGATTGCTCCGCGACAAGTTGTGATCGGGAAAAACATATGATGACTGTTGTATACATAACTTAATATCCGAAGTAAACTTTTTGGTTGGGTCAGACTCCAATAGCTCAAAGTCATCACCTTGGATAACATCGTTAACTTTCCGGCTGTACCCACTACTCTCCATAATAACAACAGTATTGCCTTTATCGGCTTTAGTAACAATAAGGTCGTTTTCCCTTATTCTCTGCTTTAGGGACTTAAAAACAGGGAACTCAGGATTGAAATGGGAAGACGCGGGCACAGCCCGAATTTCGTTAGCTACCAAACTTTTAACGATGTTATCTTTCCTCCCGATCACAACAGCCACCTCCGCGTCAACAGCCATAGTCTCTAACGATTTTTGGGAGACCGAAGGTGTTAAATTATACTTTAGGCCTTTATTTAAAAGAGTCAACTCATCTGTTGGAAACTGGACATCGGAAAGATTTTTAACTCGGGGATAAAATTGGTGATATTCTGTATGTATGTCGTTATTACGATTACGGGATGAAGAGGATACAAGTCGTTGTAATTTACGGGACTGAATTTGATATTTCTCATAAACAGCCATTGAAGCAAGTTCTCTGGCTTTTCCATCCAAAATATCAAATTCAATATTATGTAATTTATATGAAAGTTCAGAGTATAATACTTTAAGGTGGATTTTTAAATTATCTCTATTGGAAAACCAACGACGACACTCCTCATTAAGCCAAATGTTCTGAGCTTTAGAAATAGCAATACTGGCCGCTCGACTATTTGTGCTGGAACGTATTTGAATATAATTGGGAATAACATGAAGTTGTTTGCACTGCTGATTGAACCAAACATTTTGGGCAGCAATACGATGGAGTTTTGTTAATTTGACATAGAGTCTTGCCTGGTCGGCCGTGCTAGCCTTTTTAATATAATTAATAGAATCAGGCGTTACTTTGCGGAAATCCATTATATAAAAGCTTTTACAAAAATTTACTTCGCAAATATCCGCGTTATAAAATAAAATGATGTGTCTTACCTAGTATGAAGAAGCACCTCCCGCCCTCCCTCAATTGCGTGCACTAACCCCGTCACCACTAATCCCAGCACCGCTACTCCCAACACCACTACACTAGGCAAGACACACCACTGACGATAATACGACACGTGTTTCGCCTCTACACGAGGCATCCTCAGGTGATATAGACTCTACGGTGGCTAACCACTAAGTGAGCGGCGAGCCAAAACAACTGCCTTTTATACAAACGGATGACGCAACCGCTCTCTACCTAAGAAGCGAGCGACTGCGTCATGCGATAAAACATGCGACCAATCACCGCTGGACTTACGCAGCCGTTTGTAAAATTAAAAACAAACCGCCGCGCAACGCCCACATTATTAGAGAGCAGGCTTGAAGATATTTAAGAGAGGTGAGTTAGTAACATTTGTTTGTTCATTCAGCAATGCAACGGTATTATTATTACTTTTTAATATTTCTAAATGTTCCAGCACACACAGCCGCAGCCCTTTATTACACGTATGTAAGACTTTAAAGGAGTGGTCGTTGGCTAGGTTGTGTCCAGTGTCCAAAAGATGTTTGGCAAAATGGGATTTATCGGGATTGCAATTCCTGTACGCGGCTAAATGCTCTTTATAACGTGTCTCGAAATTGCGACCAGTCTGACCCACGTAAACGGCGTGGCATTCGTCACAAACAAGTTTGTAAACACCTGACTTTTGACGAATATCCAACTTATCTTTACTATTACAGATATTTCTAAGAGAATTGTTTGTTTTAAACGCCACATAAACGCCGTTTTGTCGAAGAGTATTAGCTACTTTTTCAGATATGGGGCCTAAGTAGGTCAAACTGCTCACATATCGATGAACACTTTGAGGTTGAACCGCGTACAGAGAGTTGCGAATAACATGCTTTTGTTTCTTTTTAATTAAATTGTTAATGAGATTTTTTGAAAAACCGTTAGAGACCGCTATTTGATAAATTATATTAAGTTCTTTTAAATAATTTTCTTTACTTAATGGGACAGTGAACAACCGGTTAATGTAACAATAAAAAGCGGCTACTTTATGTTGCCATGGATGACATGATGACGCGGGGATGACCGTGTCGGTGTGAGTTGGCTTTCGATAAATTTGGAAAACATGTGACGATTCTTTTCTTGTTATTGTTAAGTCAAGAAAATTAAGGGAACAATCTTGTTCCAATTCAAGTTTAAATTTAATTTTGTCATGGACTCTATTTATTTTATTGAGGAAAACATCCAGTTGTCTCCTTGTGCCAGTCCAGCAAATAATTATGTCGTCTACATATCGATAGTAATATAAGATATTTTGATTGACAACTATATGTTGTTTTTCGAAATTATCCATGAAAATGTCCGCCATAAGGGGACTTAGAGGGGACCCCATAGCTAACCCTTCTTTTTGTAGATAGAAACGGTTATTAAACCGGAAATAGTTTTGTTTCATACAGAGAGAGGTTAAGTTAAGAAGATCATTTGTTTCCCCGGGATGTAGACGACGTTTTTCAAAGAGATCTGCGAGTATACGCAAACAATCAGGGGATGGGACATTTGTGAAAAGACTATCAACGTCTAAAGATAACAATATGGATTTAGGAGGAATATGAATATCTTTAATTTTGGAAATGAGATCTAAGCCATTTTTTAGGCTGTAAGTGGGGTTGAATCCAGATTTCTCTCGAAGGAGGAAGTTTAATTTTTTAGCAAGGAAATAAGCTGGTGCACCAATATATGAGACAACTGGACGAATAGGAACATGTTCTTTATGTATTTTTGGTAACCCATATAAAATGGGTGCTTGAGGATTCATTGGAACAAGATTGCTCCGCGACAAGTTGTGATCGGGAAAAACATATGATGACTGTTGTATACATAACTTAATATCCGAAGTAAACTTTTTGGTTGGGTCAGACTCCAATAGCTCAAAGTCATCACCTTGGATAACATCGTTAACTTTCCGGCTGTACCCACTACTCTCCATAATAACAACAGTATTGCCTTTATCGGCTTTAGTAACAATAAGGTCGTTTTCCCTTATTCTCTGC